TTATATTTATTAAAGAGTTTTCTCTTACTTCCTCCTATGAAGAGGGTATTCATTCAGCAAATGGCTTGATTTAGAGCAGGGATGCGGAAAGCCGTCCTTGAGGGCCGCTGCAAGACAGAGGATTAAGGATTTCCCTGTTTCAGCACAGCTGATTTCCACTGATAGATACGGAATCATCAGAATTAGCTGTGCTAAAGCAGGGAAAACTGTAATACACTCAAGGATCTTCAAGGACCAAATTGGGGCACGTCTGATTTAGAGTGTATTTTACCATTACTCCAAGTAACGACTCCATTAATTACAATGATTCATTTCAGCCCTACAGAAGATAAATGAACAAAAAGCCTTATTAACAAACAAACAAAACAAAAAACAGGCAGGTTATGGGTGAAGCATGGAGACGTTTAAAGGAGAGTCCAGTAACAGAACAATAGAGAGTATAAACAGGATAAACCACAAAAAGACCTATGGTAACTCTGAGGAGCTGTTTGACAGGTTAGCTATGAGTCACACAATTCGCTAATCTGACCTTTACAGAAAAGTGGCAAGATTTTCAAGTTGTTAAAAGAAAACCGAAAGGATTTTCTTCTGAACTTTACCTAAAGCCATGCAAACAAACACAAAAAACACATTGTGTCACATCTGTCCCTTTTCAAAATGCAGTCCTTACGTGTGCAAAGCCAGCCAAATATTTTCAGCTGTAACTTCATCAAAAGGTGGTTCTACAAAGCGTGACGTGAGGGACCTAGGTACAAATTCATACCATACTTTTGAAATATTTGTATAAAAGTATATTCTTGCTCTCATCACTTAAATACATAGAAGTTTGTGGAGGAAAAGGGATATAACATTAAAGAGGGTTATGGTGTTTTGAGCTGACTGGCTGCAACAAACTCATCTACTTTTAATGCTGTAACAGAATAATAAAGAATATTGATTATTTAAACCAATAAATCATTCAAATTTCAATCTTTTCTGTATTCTTGTAAAAAATAAATAAATAAATAAAATGGCTCAAATTACTCCCAGTGAGACCAACCAAACCTAAGCCAAGAATGAAATGACCTGTACCTTTGAAAAAGCTGAATGGAACAAAAATGAAGGTCTGCTGTGATAAGTTACTGTTCTTTAATCTTCAATAAGATGTTATAAAAAGGACAAACATGCTCCTGGTGGCTGTAAAACTCCTCATACCTTAATCTGTATAAATTAAGACCTCTGATGAAAAAGGGCATCCTTTAGATAACAGGTTTACATTGCACACAGTAAAATTAGCTGTTTGGTGAGGTAACATCTCAGCCACTCCTGAAACAATGTCAAGAACCAGTGCAAATTTTCAATGAGATGTTCACACATAGTGAATTAATAATAATCGCAATTAATCAGCTTGTTTTCATCCGATATCAAAACATTGTTTATTCGGTTTACCACATGCATAAAAATTTAATTTCACAATATGTCTATAAATGCATTAAAAATAACATTTTCTTTGATGATTTATTTTTTATTTGTTTAAAAGACTCAAATTAAAGCTTGTTACACTTTCCAAAAAAAAAATCAAAATCAATCCACTGGACTTGGTTTTCAAATTTGAAGATGTTTCGCTTCCCATCCAGGAAGCTTTTCCAATTCAAAATGTCAGGAATAGCATTGAGTTGGAGGTTTTATACAATAGTCCAACAATTGAAAAAGCTTCCTGGACATGAAGCAAAATGTATTTTTTTATCCAAAAAAGCTCATTTTAAAAGTTGCTCATTCACATTTATTTGACTTAAAGGTATAGTGAAGGAGTTTTGCAAATTTTTGAAAACACCCTACTTCTCCACTTTTTAAGAAAAAAAAAAAAAACACATGCACAACCCTGTACTCGCTCTAGAGAGAAACGCCTATTAAAAGTGTGTGAGAGTGTGCACGACCCCATTTCTCCTCCTGCACACTTGTACAAGCTTACTTTCCAAAAGAAGATTTGCAATTTTTCCCACTATGTCAGACTCACCACCAGTAAGTGAAAATGGGGACGAGAATATAGGACAGCCTTACGTAAACATATCCCCGGAATGATTGACAATTAGGAGGACTGATTATTTAGAAGATGATCCACCCGGAAAAAGAACATCCTCCATTATACCTTTAAATGGTATAAGCTAAGTTAAACGCACAAAACGAGACCAAATGAACAGAAATTATTAGAATAGAACAATAAAGTCGTCATAAGGCTGGTGTCATGAGGCTGCAGAGCCTGCCTGATGTATAAGCAAACTTTGCAGCTACTGGGGGCCAGTGTTGTGCATGAACGGGAACATTGAACGGCGCTCACTGAATACGTGCTTATTGATAGTGAATGGTGAATTAACAGATCAGTTTTGAAGTAACGAAGGTGAACGAGAGCGACGTTCACTCTGAGAATAATGAGCGACAGACACAGCTGATGTCACATTCAATCGATACACTTTCCATTGGATAACGTCAGGTTTTATGGCATTTATTACAGCAAACAGTGTTACAGGCCAGCAGGTCTGAAGCTAGAACTATTCTGATTGATTCAGACTCATCTGCTGACATTTCTGATGCCAGGTTTGCAGAGCGCTTAGCAGAGTGTAATGAGCTAACAAAGGAAAACTCAGACAGCAAAAAACTCCCCACCTGGACTTAAACAAGTCCGTACGTCAGTCACGTCCACTTCAAATTTAAAGTGACACATCAAGCTATCTTGGGAAACACTTGTGCCTGAATGAGGAACGTAAGAAATCATTTTTGATCCAGATCTTTTCAGTAGAACCTGAATGTACCTGTATGTTCCTAAAGTTCTGTGTAATTTGGCTAAAAAAAGGCATCACTGCACATACAGAATACCTTGACTGCATCAAGTATTTTCTATTTCCTTTTGGTTCATATTTCACCTACATTTTAAGGGTGAAATATAAGGTTCTGTGTAGGATAGTGGCTTAATTTATTAAATGAACTTGAACTCTTTCTTTTATAGGTTTGTGAGCTTAGTTCATTTTTTGCAAAAGTGAACTATAAGCGTCAGTGAGTTCATTGTCATCTCTGTGAACTGAACTTTGAGATTGTTCTTTTTAATCATTAAATGGCACAACATTACTGAGGGCTCTGAGAGGAATCACACATTACAGTTAGACAAATAAGGCAAATATAAACACACAGATGTAACACAATTATTTTTGTTGTGCCACCCTCATATTTGGCAATTTCATCACAGTTATGATTACTACTTGTTTCATTAAAAAAAAAATCAATTATTTAAATAATCATCAACTAATCTAGTAACCAATAAATCGTTAGAGTACAGAGACTCTAAAACATGCCTTTAGCTGACAGAGCGACCAACTAAGAGCAGTAGTTATACCAAAACTGTAATAAAAAAATATATATATGTAAACATTTTGCATTCAAAATAAAAATGTTTGTGTCTGTCAATATGCTCTATCCAGAACAAGTTGAAAAGTTTAAGAGTCATCTGGTTTAATTTCCTAAAAAGTCTTCTTCACGGAACCTTTTGATATCCGATTATTAATCAATTAATCGAAAAAAAAATAATAGAAAGATTAATCGTTTTTCAAAATAAAAGTTGCAGCCCTAGTTTTAAACCTAACATCATTACTTGTTATATTACTATAAATTGGCTGCATAAATCTTATTGTTTTAGGTACAAATCAACAGATGTGTCTACTGACCAGTGGCGTCGGCAGACCTTTTTCACAGGGGCACGTGCCCCGTTGTGGATCTGCGTAACCTGGGGCACTGATTTTTTTATTAATTCATTTTCCGCCCTCATAGTAGAGTTGAGAGAGAAGAGCTCTCCAGATTAAGCCAGTCACAATCGATTGACAGCTTTGCAAAAATGGAGCAGAGATGCTACTGTTTACTGTTAAAAAAATTAACATCCAGCTCTTCCATCTTTCTGACAATGATATACACACCTCATAGGATCATCACCATCACACCATCATAGGATGGCTGAAATCGAAATGATAAACACAGACATGCTTGTATGTAGAGGTTTTTTTGTTTTTCCTTTACAGTTGCACATTTCAGGTTTTCAATTGTCAAGTTCATGTTTGCTGTCTGATTGTACAATTTATTTATCACACTTTATAATAAGTGTTATAAAATATTTGCTTGCGTGCTTACATTAATAATCTGTGTAAAATAAATATATGGAAGAGGATTAAAGCCACTGAAAAAACAAAAAAGTTGACAGATTTTTCAATCTTATTTCAGTATAATATGAGAAAAAAAGTCAGAATTCTCATTTTAATCTCAGAATTTTGGATCCTAATGTAGATGGGCACCATAAAGGAAAAGATGTGGGAGCACTCAGCTTCACTGACAAAGATGTGAGTTGTTTGGGAGGGCAAGTAACACATTGATGAAAAATTATGAAATTGGGTGACTTTTCACATGCCTGGTGATGCTATTTCATTAATGGATAAGCAGAAGATCATTAAAAGAAAAAGAGCTAATCTCTAAAACAGACATGGCTTCAGCTTGATGCTAATATGTTTGTTAGATGTAAGAATTCAGTCAGAATTCTAAGATTAAACTCTGAAATCTGACTTTTTTCCCCATATAAAACTGAAATAATATTTAAAAATTAGTTAACTTTTTTTTTCGGTGACCCTACTCCTCCTGGTCTTCAATAATTGACCAAATTTTTTTTTTTTTTGTGCCCCATTGTGCCCCTGTATAGTAATGGCTCAGCTGACGCCCCTGCTACCGACCATTATTAAAAGAGAGCAAATTTCAGTCTGCTTTGCATGGAATGTAATGTTCTTTTAAACTGAAAAAGAAGAAAAATTAAACACAGCTCTGACTTGTGCAAAAACACTGGATAAAACAAACAAGTCAAGACATTTTAAACAGAAGTTAAATGGCTGTGATTATTATCAGGCACAGCATTATATTGTGAAATTGTAATCTACCTGCTGAATGCAAAGGATTATTTAACCAGGAGCCTGTAAATGCTTTAGCAGACTCACTTTTCTATCCGTCACATCCTCCGCCACCGCCTCGATCACCCCGGAGCCCTCCATCCCCATGGTGACGGGCGGGGCTGGCAGCAGATCGTACAGCCCCTGCCTCCCCAGCAGCTCGGCGAAGTTCAGACCACACGCCTTGACCCGAACAAGGACCTCTCCAGCCTTCAACTGCGACTTCTTCATGCTCTTCACCTGCAGCTTGATCTTGTCGTAGCCGCCGTACCCGGTGAGAACCAGAGCTCGGTAGGAGATGGGCTGCTCCTCCTCGGCTGCAGCCGGGCTGCTGCTGCTTGACTCCGGCTTGGCTTCAGCGGCTTCAGCCGGTGGAGGTTCATCTGGCTTCTTCACCTGCTCCGGTTCTTGCTGCTGAGCTGGACCCTCTTCACCAGACATGATGGCCGCTTTCAAAGGGGGTGTTTTTGCTGGAGTCTGTAGGTTCGGAAAATGTCTCAAGTTTAAAAAGCCGTCATGAATAAAATGCTTCTCACAACAGACGGTCGTGTCTTCAACAAAGCCGAGCTCTGCTCTCCAAGTCCCCGAAAGTGCGACTCACTCAACAAGTAGTTAATATAAAGGGTGACGCAAAAACCGAGGTACTTCCGGTGATTACTTTCAAAATAAAACTCTGAAAGGGCACACTAGGAGGCAAAGCTCTATGATGCGGTACCCGCTCATTTACTCTGTTTTGTAGACATGATTTGATTTGGCTCATCTAAAAAAATGGAAAGCTCCAAACCTCAGGATCACAAACTGTTTAGAATCTTTCCTTCAGGTTGGCACAACAGAGCAGGAGCGGAGCTAGACGGGGGGGCAGGGGTGGCCTTGGCCCCCCTTAGCCACTCTTTGGCCACGCCCAGGCAAGGCAAGGCAAAGCAAGGCAAATTTATTTGTATAGCACAGTTCAGTACAAACACAATGCAAAGTGCTTTACATGATTAAAATATAGGAAAATAAAACAGAATCAAAGCAAGTAGGAAAAAAGATAAATAAATAAAATTAAATAAAAAATGCAGAAAACAAAAAAGACCATTAAAACAGTTGGACGAAAGAAAATAAAAAAGTTGAACTAATGATGTTTCAGTCAAACTGTTTAACTAGAACAGTCGAAGGCAATCCTAAACAAATGTGTTTTTAGTCTTGATTTAAAGGAACTCAGGCTTTCCGCACTTTTACAGTTTTCTGGAAGTTTGTTCCAGATAAGTGGAGCATAGGAACTAAATGCTGCTTCTCCATGTTTAGTTCTGGTTCTAGATAGAGCAGGCTGGAGCCAGAAGACCTGAGTGGTCTGGAGGGTTGATACACTGGTAGCAAGTCTGTGATGTATTTAGGTGCTAAGCCATTCAGAGATTTATAGACTAACAGAAGTATTTTAAAGTCTATTCTCTGAGATACAGGGAGCCAGTGTAAGGACCTACCATTTCTTCCCTTCTAATACAGATGTTGGCAGCAGTAATACTCTCAAGTAGAATATTCGAAACATTTACATTTTTTCATACATTAACAATTACTAGACGACAAAAACACAGTTGTTAATTATGCAAATCAATGTACTAATGTTAAAGACGATAAGTACATAACTCCTGCTCTTTTCAGAACTAGATTTTGTGTTATATGGGGTAAAGAGAACATGATGTGTCTCTGCAAATCATCTAAGAGTCTTCAGTGAAATCATAGATAACTATTATAAATCATAGATAACTATTATAAAAACAAATTAAATAATCAATTTATGTAGATATTAGTACTGGTAAATGTAAATTTATGCATAATGATTATTGATAAACGTAGGTAAGTAATGACAATGGAAAAAATTTCACCCCTGAACTGTGATCTGAAAGAATTGTTTCCACTATACATTTAATCTAGAAAGCATGGATGTTGAAATATATGCCTCTATTTGTTAGAAAAAGGCTGTAGGAAAGTATAGTTAGTCTTTATTCAGCGAATATGGACGTTGTGTTTGTTATTTTTCCTGTTGGAACAGTGTAGATTGACCCTGAGGTTCTGGTGCCTATCAGCCACCCCTCAGAGTACATTGATTAATGCCTGGCCACCCTTATAAAAACTTTATAGCTACGCATCTGCTAGAGAGCATCATGACTACTGCCTATATCCTTATTTGTATCTTCTCTAAAGTTTTACAGGTCTAACTAATGTTCATAGCTATGGAAACAGAAGTCATATCCCATGTTTGTTCAATTAAACTGAGCAAATAAAGATGCTTTTTCTCTTGGTTGCTCTTGGGTTTATGTTTGTGGTGCTTATTCAAATAGGGAAGAATGCTTTTATCTGTACCAGTCAAAAAGTTTATAATGCAAATGTTGGGGATGTAGAGATTCAAAAGAAGAACCTGTCAATGGCTCAATTTAACCAAAAGCAACACTGATTGGAAACGGAAGAAAAGTTCCTTGCTATAAAGTCCATTTTCAAGAAATAATTTTCTTTGGAAGGTTAATTATGTGAAATAAATGTTTCAATATTATTTTCTATTTTGTTTTCATTAAGTTAATCAACTGGTTTCATTGACTCTTATTTATTTATTTATACTTTTTCTGTTCTTAAATGTTTCATTAAACATGTCAAACCTCATATGACGTAGTATCATTATTATTTTTATTATTATTTAGATAGAATTAATCTACTAATGCTGTCTAAAGTGGACCAAAAAGTACAAGTCCAAAGCAGCTTTACAAAAAAAAAAAATTTGTTGCTGCAGCCCTTTAAAAAAAAAAAAGAAAAAAAAGAAAGAAAATGAATACAAATGCAACTTAAACCAGTGCGTAAAAATAAAAGATGCTTTATTTTGGTAAGGAAAAATGACTTCCGGTTTTATTCACTCTCTCATCACATTTACGTCTTTGAAAAAGTGGCAAAAATGATTTGTTTGCAAAAAAAAAGTCAGGGGTGAGAGGCAGAGAGCTACAAAGCTCGGAAACTGGAGTGCTGCTGAGAGAAGTGGGATTCTTTCCAGCTGAAGAAACTACAGTTTACACTTCCTCGGCACTTTTTGAGGAAACACTAATTACAGCTTTTATTTCTAAATGCCTGGTGCATTTGTGCTTTTTCCTTTTTTTTCTCTAACTACTGAAATCATTGCAAATGTGTGTGAGCTTGCAGGCCGTATGGTGACAGTGACTTGTTGAGCTGTAAAAGCACTAATACACCCACAGTTGTGCCCCCACAGACACTACTGCATCCTGCATTTAGAGCTGCAATAACATCTCAAACTGCTGACTGAATGAGGCTGACAGGAAGTGGTGGCAAACTCAGGGGAGAACTTCTTTAGTAAGACTTGAATCTGTGTGGGTGACTGACTGTATAAACTTCTGTCTAGATAACATCAGAAATGTTTCTAAAATAAAATCCCTGGACAGGGGCGCTGCCAGGAAATTGGGGCCCCATGATAATGCCCCCCCTCCAAAAAAAGAAAAAAAAAGAAAATGAAAAGGGGCTGCTGGTGTATTATCTGTTTACATGATGAGGGAGGGATAGAGACAGTTATTTAACATACATATCCAGATAAACTTCTACTAGCATTTAGCTGATACTAACCCTTTGAGGGTTAGTATCAGCTAAAGGTAAATTCTCAGCTCTGTGAGCTTTCTGGCTTAGTTATTTAGCCTCTGTGTTAATTACATACACACAATAGGCTCAATGAATGCTAGATTATTCCTGTCATTTTTTTTTTGAAAACTAAAAATAGAACACAACAAAATAAAAAAAATCCTGCAATCATGTGCCGTTTCAGATGGGCGGCGTCATTAATGATGTGATTACCCTCCGACACTGAGGAGGATTAACTAAGTAAACCTGGGTTATGGTATTGGATGCCTTCTCCCCTCTTTCTCCTTCCTTTCCGTTCCTTTTTGAAACCCAGACTTTGGGGTGCTGCATTTTTCAGCCGCGAACGTTTTTTTCGACACTGCTGCTTATTTACACATTTTGTTGTTAATTTATTTTGTTACCACTCTGTCAAACCATTTATTGCAATGACACTGACATATCCATGCTTTGTTTCACTGTTTATTGCTGAAAAATGAAGGAGAACATGAAGATTATTTATTTTACTGCTAGATTTTCTTTTTATATTTGAAAATTATAGTGGGAAACATCTTCTCTTCTACTTTTGGCCCCCCCCCTAAGTCAAGTTGTTTTTGTTTTGAAAACATGCAAATTGAAACGGACGAAGAGGTCCACCCCTTAGGAATGGAGGTCGTTTGGCTTATTTTGTTAGCCTGCAATGCCCCATACTCGTCTAAATCACTGAAAGGGGTGGATGGGTTGGGGTTGCGATGATAACAGGAAGGGATCAACTAAATTGCTGCATTGTAGGGTTCTGAAAGCTTAAATCTGTTTAAGGTTGGTTTTTCTTTCTAAACATAGGCTTCCTTCATGCCCCTCTCAAACCACCTATCTCCTTTGTTCAAAATGTGAACATTCTGGTCCTCAAAAGAATGTCCTTTGTCCATAAGGTGTCCAGAGTCTTGTCCAGAGGAGGTCGTTCTTCTGTGTTGAGCCATGCATCTGTGGAGAGGTTGTTTGGTTTCTCCAATATAAAGATCAGAGCATTCCTCACTGCATTGAACTGCATAAACCACTCCGCTCATATTTGGTCTGAGGGTTTTCTCCTTAGGATGCACTCAATGCTATTCCTGACAATTTGAATGGAAAAAGCTTCCTGGATGGGAAGCGAAACGTCTTCAAACTTGGAAACAAAGTCAAGTGGATTGTTTTTTTTAACTTTTTTGTCACCCTGAAGACTTTTAAAAATCATGTCATGATAAAATAACTGTAATGCAGTTTAGAATTTACATATATTTGGTTCATTTAAAGATGTCTTACCAATAATACATTGCAAGTGTTTTAAGATCCTCAGTTTTGTTTCACCTATTCTTTACTGTGTTACTACATTGCAAAAAAATCAAAATCTAGTCCTTTTTTCTTAAAATAAGTGCATTTGTTCTTGAATTTAGGAGGTAAAAGAGACATTTTGGCAATGGAACAAGACGATTGACATTTAAAATAAGAAAACATAATTGCATTGTCTAATTTCAAGTGCATATTATCTAATTATCTTATTTTAAGAGTGAAATTACTCATTCCATTGGCAAACTAGCTCATTTACCTACTCAAATTAAGGGTGAATACACTTAATTTAAGAAATGTTTACTTATTTCTAGATCGTTTTTGCAGTGTAGGCAGTCCAGTGGGTCCTAAACTCCTTGCATCAACCCTCAAGAAAGGTTCAAATGAATAATCTCCCTTTGAATCTAATAACATATTTTTGACCTGAAATGAATTTAGTACCATATTTACTATTTAATTACCTAATAAAGTTCAGGCGAGGTTCTCACAAAAGAAGCACTGAAAAATGGGTCTGACCACAAAGGTCCCTGTCACAGGGTAGGCAGTTCCGATGTAAGGAAATGCAGCTCTGCTGGTAAATATAGTCTCCGTTTTGGGGAATAGATCTTTGAATCACACTTGAATATCTCTTTTACAAATTATATATATTCAAAACTTCATGATCACCTATTGATGTTGCCACATTCTCTTTCATTGCAAGATAATATTCTATTCACAGCGGCTCTAAAAATTGCACATACCATTGTAAAAAAAGTATTTTGACATTATGTAGTTTTTATGAAGTCAGATCAGCAGCATCATTAAGAAGCGTACTATGTAACTACATGGTTTCTGCTTTATTTCAGTGACTTCACTGCAGTAAACCAAAAAGGCCAGGGTTATGTATAAATTATTTTATGCATTTTTGTTTTTGCAAGGACGAAGACATTTCTTAAAAGGTAGTGATCACTTCAGCCAGGCTATCTGAGAATCAAACAATCAAACATAAAGAAATAGAAAATGTCCTGCTGCATTTATTCCATTTTCTGGTAAATTTTTTGTCGCCCCTTTTTTGGCCACAAGATGGAGATAGAACCCAGATTGGATTCTGATATTATCACTGACTAAAGATGAAACTGGTTCACAGAACAGCTTAATTACATCCTGTCGTTAGACAAGAATGTCAACAATTTGCATTTTGTGCAATTTAGGTAACCCAGATTCACTGATTTATAGGAGGTTCTTTACACCATTTTCTTGTTTTTATTATATGTTTAAAGAAAAATTACACGTATTTATGTATTTATTCTAATCTCAGATCTAAAGATCTTAAGATTGCAAACTGACTAGTTAAGCTGATTAAATTTATGGATCATGTCATGTCAGCAATAATCAGTCAAGGAGAAACAGGAAGTGCATAATATCTCTCTTCAAATTAATTGACTTTATCTCGCGTTTTGTGTTTTATTCGTTTATCTCATTTCACTGTAAAAGGGGAAATAAAAGCTTAAAATGTGCTTTTTTATATATAAACACAGAAGGAATATCAGATATTGTAATAATGACAAAATTAATAATTACTAAGCTAAAGTTGGCCTATTTGTCTATTCAGTTGATTTGCAGTGGGTATGGAAAGTATTCGAACCCCTTTAAATTTTGCAGTCCTTGTTTCACTGCAGCCATTTGCTAAAATTAAAAGATTTTATTTAATTTCTCTTTAATATACACTCATTATCCCATCTTGACACAAACAAACATATATGTAGAACATTCTGCACAAAAAGAAAGAGGTAAAATATTACATGGTTAGAAGTGTGTTTTTTTTTTTCAATCTCTCCATGTTAAAAACAAACATAAACACTTTTGGAATACTCAAACTAAGTTAACTCAAACTACAAACAGAAAATATAGAACTTTATTAAAAGACAAAAAAGGAAATAAACTTAAAATACAATTAGACACAAAAATGTGTCTAAGTTATTAAGACTACAAAAATATGACCTAAATAAAGAAATATAAGCAATGAACATTTAAAGAAAATAAGGAATGAAATACTACCTAACTGCTTTTCTAACCTTTGCACACAGCTAGGTGTGCTGCAGTCCTCCTAATTGTAGCTAAACAGGACCACTCAATGGAAATTCTGTTTTTCTGTTTTATACACAAAAATATTTAGAAATGGATAACAAATATTTGGAAATCTTCTAATAATAAACAAAGGTTCAAATGTCCAAATGTCCATTAAAAGATGTAGAAAACACTTGGAGTTTTGAAAATCAGAGTTAACAAACAAACATTTTAGTTAAATTTTTTTTGTCCTTTTAGTAGAAGTCTTTTTCTTTTGCCTCAAGTTGGTATACTTTTGGTTTTTGGTAGAAAAAATTGATTAATTTTGTCTTTGAGGATAAAGATCATGTCAAACCATTGCAGAAGTATTTCAAGCTTTTATTGTGAAGGAGCTAAAACGGAAACAGACCTTTATTGGCGAGCCATTTATATCCAGGTATGATCATTGAACCTCACAGCAGGTTGGGGCAGAAGAGCGCAGCGCAGCGCAGAGCATGGTGAAGCTGACAGAAACTCTGTGGGGCTGAAGGTTTCCTCCACCATCTGTCTCCTCAGGAGGAACCATAAAGCTGCTCCTCCATCGCCCATAGGCTGGGATCTAAATGACAAGGAGGCAGAAAGTCATCCACTGATACTATGGAGAGCAAGGCTGTACTTCGCTGTAAGATTGTGGTGGTTGGAGACTCACGGTGTGGGAAAACGGCTCTCCTTCATGTTTTTGCCAAAGACTCGTATCCAGAGGTAAACACTTTACCAAACGCATGTTTTTTATGTCTATTTTTTAATCTGGGGTGCGTAAAGATCCACCCAAAGTGCGCTTCAGTGTATCCATTTTAAATTCTTTGGCAGTAAAACTCTGAAAAACAGTTTTATAGGTAAAAGTTTAGTGATATAAGAAGTTGAATATTAATGATAAACTCATTTAATTTCATTTGTGAGCATTTGCGCCCCGGCAATTGTTGATGCGCTCTGAGATCGCCAAAGCGCACCGAGTCAAAGTGCTTTGTGTTAACAACTTTAAAGTTTATATATATATATATATATATATATATATATATATATATATATATATATATATATATATATATATATATATATATATATATATATATATATATATATATATATATATATATATATATATCTCGCTTTAATGTTTTGGGACTAGACTGTAATTTATGTCCAAAATAAATAAATAGATAAAGATGTCCTAGGTTACTGGGCGGCATTATGTTCATATTTTGTGATGTCATCAGTTTATACTGCCACAAATTTTAGTTATTTTTCTCTCACCTGAACTACTGTAAATACTTTATAAAATCTGTTATTAATGGCAAACTGTCCTCAGTTTTAAAAAGAAATCCTTTCTGTCACAGTCTATTAAAATCAAAGCCAACTAGGGGTGGGCATTCATTGTTTTCTTTGGAATTTTGATTTATCTTCTAAATGAAAAAATTTAGGATGAATAAAATCTAAAATAGATGAATTGTCAGAATATTTATTTTTACTAGTTTTCTTTTCTTTCATTTTTTTTCCATTGGCAAATTCAGAAAACATGATTAAATGAATGTGGTTACTAAGGGTTACTATGTGATATAAATCACACTTCTTTATTTCATTGGTTTAATAAAGATGCATATTTTAAATCTGTATATTTTTCAACAGTAGTACATGTGAGGCTAAGATTGCTGTAGTATGCAGTCATAGCCTTTAAAGAAGACATGGGGAGTTGTTTTTTTTATCATGACTTATCGTTATCATGATAGTACCAATAATATCATATGATTTTAATTTAACATTGCGGAAATCTAAAGCCAACTGACCTAAATATCTAATCTAAATTGCTTAAAGCAGTGAATTGCTTTATTCTGCACTCTTTCATTTCTAATTCCTTTTGACATTCATCACTACCTTCCCCTGAAGATGCCACAATAGCAGTCTGAAGTAAAATCCCACCATATTTCATATTCCCACACTGAGCTCTCATCCAGTGTCATCTATTTATTTTATTTTTTTCAGAACTATGTTCCCACCGTGTTTGAGAATTACACAGCCAGCTTTGAGATCGACAAGCAGAGGATCGAGCTCAACATGTGGGACACTTCAGGTAGGATGCACTATTGACCTTTTTTGTGTTATAACAGCAACGGTACCATCCTAACAAGAGCTGCTCTGATCATTGGCTTAAAGAGGTGTTGCTGAGAGCTTCGGTTTGTTTTCATTGAATGTTTTTACAAAGTTCAGCACTCAACACATTTCAATGTGTCATCAATTTTGAACTGCATTCAACACAATCTGTCATCTACAGTAAATATTTCTTACTAATATGGGAAGTTTATTTTCTTTTTGAGTTTTACACTCTGGGGTTTTATTATGTACTTTGAATAACACCTTCAAAAGTGTTCATACATAAACCTTTTTACATTCAATAAGGTTACAAATAAAGGGGTTTCATCTGACAGACTAACACAAATACTTGGAAGGAAGGGGATTTATTTAAGGGCTTTATTTATTTGTTTTACAGACAGAAATCTGAAAAGTGTGGCCTGCATTTATTGCATGGGCTAGCCTGATAAACCAGACTAAATGTGAGATTAAATGTTTAATTGAGTTTGGCCCGATGAATGAATCATCTGAAGATTGTTAATGAGAAAAACCTCTTGTCTTTTCAAACCGCTGTCTGGCCTCTGACCAATGAGCGCAACTGACTGTGACATAGTAAGCGCGACAGAAAGATGGTGGGGGAGTGTAAACAAACAGCATGTGATGTGAGCAGTGGATAACTTGTTGAGATCACGGAGTTTGACTATTGTTGTCGTTTGTGCAAAAAAAGAGATGCGAGTAGCCGGTGTACTACACCACTGTACACAACTTTTCCGAAGTTCAATCAACCGTTGTCAGTGGCAGAAAGATTACAGAAAGTTGGAGTGAACGTTACGATTACACCAATTGAGTCTGTCGAGCTTGTACGACGGTGTTGAATACACTGAAAAAAGTAATGCAACCATTTTTTGACATTTATTTAATCATATTTAGTTACTTTAACACAATTGTTTCATGTTAGCTGGGTAGAACATAAAGCAATTGTGTTAAAGTAACTAAATATTAGTAAGTAAATCCCAAAAGCGGTTGCATTATTCTTTTTAGTCTAGACTGGAAAGAGACCTGCCAATTTATTGGAGGTGGATTGAAAACGACGTGCCCCCGCATAACAAACAGCTGCTGAAAAGAGAGCTCAGGAGCCTACACGCTCGTAAACAGAGAGACTTGAAGAAGCTCCGCCACAAAACAGACAAGCCAACGTTATCTGTCTCAGCGGAATATAGCCGAGGCAAGTTGACATTATCAGTATATAATCACGACCTGTGACGGCAAATCTATCTGCCTGTTGGTAAAACGGCGAATACGTCCCTCTTAAAAAAGAATGAGCATAGAGCCTCTTCCTGCTCATGTTTCAACGAAAACCCCAGGTCTAATCCTTCCAAAACTGATTGCAAAGCGGAGTCAAACGAGAACTGTTCAATAGTTATTGCCATCTTCCTTGTTGTTCTTTCTCCAGCGTCGCACAGCTTTGTCGTCACGCCCTCGAACCCCGCCCACTTTGCATCCCGAAATTCAGAACACATCTCTGCGTTGTGATTGGCCTGCCAGTTATAGGGCCTGGGTCATTGATCGAGGCTAGACCAACTCGTAGGCAAAAATCATTTTGGCCGCTGGCGGGTGGGGCTAGTTTACTAGGCTATGCATGGGCAGCTTTTTCCTTTTAAAATCTGCCATGAATTCTTTATTCAACACTGGTCTAAGTGAGGGGTCTGCAGCATGCTGCTTTGCAAGGTCTTTGCTCGATATTAACTTTGACTGAAATGTTGAAGAAAAAAAAAAACAGAAGTGTCTTGGAATATAATGCAAAATTAAAAAAAGTACTTTTATATATTTTTTTATGATCTGCCTCTAAAGAATTTCTTCAGCAGAATGAAACTAAAGCTGCATGAAAAACTTATTTTCTTGATGAATTATTAAAAATTGTAATCTGATTAAATATATTATCAGCTTTTGTCTTTTATTTGCTACAGATTTTAAGTTTGGGAGAGTTTATCCATACTTTATTTATACTTTTTGTAAAGGTTTGACATTTTTCTTAATGTTTTTAAAATCTAAGAAGTAGATTAGTAGGTTACCAACCGGTTTCCATATAATTTATATATGAAAATATATTTATTTTCTTTGCAGAGTCCTTTAAGTTTTATCTGCTTGAGATAAATTCAATATAGTAAAAGTCTTACTGTAAGACTGAAAGTGAAAATAAATACATTTTGGGGGTTGTAAAGGAGGCAGAAACGTGATCCAAACTGCTCTATCATACATCTGGTTTCATCTGTGGTTTTGATCATCTTTAGGAAACCGAACATCCGCCTAAGTCTCTGACATCTGATTTTTTAAAAATCCATATTTAGTGTCTGCTAAAGGGAAACGTCCCCACAAATTGATTCTGTCGATGCTGTGTCTCTGGAGGGTCACATTTAACATGTTTTTCTAACATGAACTTTGACCTTTCTGCTTTGTTTCTTGGTTCACTAATTGTTCTCTACAAACCTCTAATACTTTCATAAAACAGCTGGATTTAAGAAAAAATAACACATAGATGACCTTAAGTTACTATATAGGCGTTTGGTTGCATTTATCAAAGTAAGTGTGGAAGGGTACAATTATGCGCCACGCTCTTCTATCTGCATCTGTATCCTTCCACTTTGTAATTATGCACTACATTGTGCTGCACAGAGACATGTTCGCCCTTCTCTTCCAGTAAAGTAGTTTCTATGGAGCTGTAAAAGTCTTTGCAAAGCATCAAGCTGAAATGATGAGAAAGATATAAAAAGGAATGTGTTTTACTGCCAAACTGAAGAATCGATTTGGGGTTTTAAGAACAATGAAAATGAAACTTTTATGCATGCAGATCCACCACACTTCAACAAAGTACCCCCTTGAGCTAAACTACTGTTAAGAGTTATTATTTAAAAAGTAATTATTTGATAAAAATAAAACAGTCACATACACTGGAAAAATCCATGTTTATGTAAAACGATGAAAAGCACGTAGTTTGCAGCCTAATAAAAAATATTAAACTATTCAATTGGTTTATTTTTCCTAGTTTCTATAAAGATACAAACAAAAACCACAGAAAATCTTCTATAAGTAGGCTTTTACCTTCTGCTTAGTTTGACTTAATCTTAGGCTGAATTTATCAAGAGCCACAGTCCAATGAGGTGTAGGTCGCAGGCTACTGGTTAATAATGATATCTTAAGAAAATGTATTTAACTTTGTGGCTGAAACATCAGGACATGTTGAAAATTGATCTGAATGCTTTTGCAAGGCAAATATGTCTGACTTAAAAAGATCTAAGGTTGGTAAACTGATATTTTTACTCTTTTGATATAAACCTTTTAAATATCTCTAACTTTCCTTCACCCTTAAGAGGATGCATTAGTACAAAACTAGTCACACAGTGCAGAGAAAGGCGATAATGCACATCGTTGCTGTAACCTCCACCCATGCAGGGAGAGACAGACTAGCTAGACAAGCTAGAGATTAACAGCGGCTGCTGCTGGCCTGTGGGCTTGCTGTGGGTGAGGCCACCGTGTCTAATAAAATACCTCCCAAAACGGCTGCACACATAAACACACCTTTTTTTCCTCACTGGGCTGTTTGGTGAATAACAGTTACTCCAGTGGAACACTTAAACAGTAATTTTCGACTTAGTTAAGAATGCAGTTCTTGTTTTATTATAAGCATGTACTGTAGCACTACGGTGCCATATTACATGAAATGTGATCAAACCTGAAGAACAGCCTCTTCAGTTCGGTTGAAAGCATTAGAAAGAACATTCTCTCTAGTCCCAAATGCTCTCTGTCTGCATCGTGGAATAAAATGTCCTCGCATGAACCTCAGCACCTTACAACTACCTAAATAAAAGCCTGGCCTCAAACCTCCAAATTTAATATTCTATTTTAGGTCTGTGCAAATGAAATCTATAAAGACTTGGATTGCGAATTAAGCTACAGGCTTTATTTAATATTAGAAAGACGGCTTTATATCCTGTATTTAGTAGGTAAGGGGACAAACGGAAGGACAGAGTTTAAATACTTTGCTCCAAAAAACTCTTTTTTGGGAGCAAAAAAACAACAAAGTCTATGAAATGTATTTATGTAGCACCTTAGCATAACAAAGTGCTTCATAATAAGCTAAAATTAAATAAAAATTGTGCATATAGGTAAAAAGTTAAAGACATTAATGCATATAAACATGATGTAAAAATCTAAAATTGTTGGTTTTATAATTGAAAGCCCACTTATGAAAGAATGTCTTTAGGTGTGTAAAAATGGGAACTTTCCATACCTGAAAGATAAAATCAGAGTTTTTAAGTCCTTTCTGACGTGGCCTAAGAGTCAAAACAGTCGTTATGTTTCTTGATTATTTATGTTTTAAACCTAACAGCCATGTTTTCAGCATTCTGCAGCAGATCAAGTTCTTGTTAAAACATATAGATAAGAAGCTGCAGAATCCAAGTTATTCAGTTAAATATTTCTGAGATGGTCCTTGTGAGTTGCTCTAAACACATTGCGTAATCAAAAATAACACCCAGGTTTCTAAGGCTGGACTGAACAACAGCAAAGAATCTAATTTTCAGGAGCAATAATCACAGTTTTAGTCTCAGGTGAGCTAAGCTTTTCATAGTTGTTACTTAACCACTGTTTGATGCTGCCAAATGACCTTCATTTATGAAACTCTTTGATTGAATGACTAGCATATCTGGGGTAAACCACAATTACCGGTACACTTGATAGAATCTGATAATCCCATTCGCTGAAACAATAAAACCTGAGACAGAAGGTTTAATGAAATCTATATAGCTCAATCTTGTGAAGTTTATTAATCATAATCTTTTAACAAACAGTTTTGAAACCTGACGACAGATTGAGCAATCTTTAATAGTTTTACTATTTGCTTATACCCAGTCTTCAACATTTAAGACTTAACACTGAATTTAAATTCTCGAACAATAGACACTTAACAGACCCAAACTGAATCACAAGACTAAAGTGAAATCA